TAAAAGGAACTAATTAGAAATTAGATCTAAGAAACCTTACCGTATTTAAAATTCATTTTTTAAAAAAAAAAATTGGAAAATAAACCTCCGCTGTGGAGTGTCACAGATGAGTTTAAAATAAATCAATATTTCTACCGACGTAAACTCAGCCGCCATATTGTAAAGGAGTTGAAAATCAATATCGGAAGCCGCCGTGAATTCTACCGTCTTAATGTATATATCGGAATGGAAATCCGATGCAATACAGATAAAATGAAAACAAAACGAAAAGTAAAAGAAACGAATTTTTTTGTAATGCATTTTCAGAATTTACGGAAGGTCCGCTGCCGTAGCGGAGGAGGATTTGGTGGCTTTGGTAAACTTAACCTCACTATGATAGCACAAATTGCACCAACAATTAGAAAAGGAATAGGAATAGGAATCTCATGATTCTCATCATCCATGATTTGGAGGGAATTTTGAATATGGCAGGTTTGGAAATAATTTCAATCGAGATTTTCTCTCTCTATATATACTTAATGAATCACGCTTTTGATACGATTAATTTTATTATAATTATCAATACTTAGTCCCTGTTTGGCCAGATACATAGAAGCAATTCGAAATTCGCGCAGCATGACTTATTGGAGGACTCTCGGGAAAATAAACATCTTTGATCTCTTTACAAGACAGACTAATAGATGGGGAGTCGAAGCTTCGTTAAGTTTAAAGTTTTGCTAGTCACATTTTCACGAGCGATAGGATTAATGGTTCATAACGTACCTCTATGGGGAGGAAGTCGTTCATCAGCTTGTGCACTCGTTTTTCTCCTTTTTGTCTCAAATATTGCAATATCATATACTGGGACGAGTAGTTGAAATCATACCCCTAACATATGATCAAATCTAGTTTTCCCTATTAATGAAAATTACTCATTGCATACAATTCACGCGGTATCAAAACGAATTCAACTAATCACTTCTATTAATTCAACCACCCGAAACTACTCACAAATATTGACCGAGTGATCGAAGTATCTCATCATACTAATTTTAGAGTATTTATGACAACTCAAAGATCCATCGTATTATACAGCGGGTGTTTGGTGGGAATTAAAATTAGATTTTTAAACCCGACATCTCCGACTCACACTCCGAGTATTGGTGCAAGTGTCTTCAAAGCCACTCCGATGAAATAATTTGATTTAAGAGACGAACTTTTAATTTTCATATCCATATACAACGTGCACTCAAACCCAAACCTTACAGAGGCTGAATGAAACTTTGCAAAAGCATTAGAGCTAATTTCATATCATATAATCCTTGAAACTACACGTATTTTCTATTACAGTTACACAATTGTTTGATCATAGCCCAAAACATTGACAGTACTCCACTAAAACTACTGCATAGACCGTCATTTCACATCCTTGTGGAGGTAGCATGATTTAATGATAACGAGGTTCAGTAGGCTGGACATCAGTAAGAACAAAATCTATATCAGCAGCACAATCAGCGGATAAGGAGGCTAGCTAGTAAAGCCTTCCTCCCAGTGTCGATTCTCCGAACTCCAGTTTCAATGGCACGTGGTTGTCTCTAGATCTTAGTGCAATCAGCGAACCGGCTTCATCTTTGCTTGGGGCATTCTCAATGGGGATCTTTTTTCCCAATGAAGAACATGAACTAGTTCTTGGCATGCTGGACGGAGGCTTACATGGTACAACTGGGAATATATCTATAGACTGTCTTTTTACGTCCTTGGGATTAGGCATGACTACTGTTTTCGGTCGGGGGATGATTTCAATGGCATGAACCTGATTTTGATACTCCATTTCTGAAATTGTGAGATACATCTTAGCCTATGGAGCAACATCATTTGCAGCCATGATAGGAGTGATATTCCCCTGTCGGAAGACTATGCCCCGGAGTAGAGAGCCATTGTTGCCAATCATTACAGTTATAAGATACTCAGCATCAAATGAACCTTCAGTAACGCCATAAACACTTTGCCCTGTCATGTTAATGACACTAACACCTTTGAAGTTTATTTCATATTTTTCAACTTCTTTCATGCTTTCTGGTGTGGGAGTTGCAGATGATTGTAAGATACAGTTTATTGTTAAGCTTTCAATATCATTTGTGGTCGTGGTCGTAGTGATCTTCTCCTGTAGGTAAAATGAAAGATCAAAATGCATCCCCAATGAATCCACAAGGGAAAAAAGGGGAAATAAACTAATAGAAAAAGACAGAGGACGTGGGAACAAGAAAAAAACTCGAAAATCTGCCTCATAGTCTAGAATGACCATTAAAATTTCCTGCAGAACTGTCCTAAGTCAATAAACTATGCCAAAGACAAATTAAATCAAGTTCCAGATTAAATACACCATATAAATGAGCCTAAACAGTTCATACAGTTTTGGCTCGTCAATCATGATTCTAGATCGTATAAACTCAATCCATCTTAATAAAACAGCAATTTCAAACATCATAAAAATGAAAGAGTGTAGCAAATAGAATCCTCGCACAAAATTTAACCCGACGATTCCGTCCGATAATTATAAAAGGAACTAATTAGAAATTAGATCTAAGAAACCTTACCGTATTTAAAATTCATTTTTTAAAAAAAAATTGAAAAATAAACCTCCGCTGTGGAGTGTCACAGATGAGTTTAAAATAAATCAATATTTCTACCGACGTGAACTCAGCCGCCATATTGTAAAGGAGTTGAAAGTCAATATCGGAAGCCGCAGTGAATTCTACCATCTTAATGTATATATCGGAATGGAAATCCGATGCAATACAGAGAAAATGAAAACAAAACGAAAAGTAAAAGAAACGGATTTTTTTGTAATGCATTTTCAGAGTTTACGGAAGGTCGGCTGCCGTGGCGGTGGGGGATTAGGTGGCTTTGGTAAACTTAACCTCACTAGGGGTGGGCAAAACCCAATCCAACCCACGAAAATCGACCGACCCAACCCAACCCGACCGGGTTGGGTCCGGGTTGGGTCGGTTTTTTGGTGTTTTTAAGCGGGTTTCGGGTATTTTTTTACGTTATCCGGTCGGGTTGGGTCGGGTTGTGGGTTAGGCAAG